ATTTTCTCAGTTTTAGACAATTAAATTTAAATGAAATTAAAGTAACAGACGATAACACGGTGAAGGTAAAAATTTACAAATATTTTTGTTTAAAAAAAAAAAAAAAAAGAGAAAGAGAGAGAGAGAGAGAGGAAAAAAAAAAAAAAAGAAATTTGTTAAAAATTTGAACAATATCATCTACAATTAAAAAAAAAAAAGTTTTCCATATAGTATTAATAAATATTTATTACGCATCATTGAGGTAAAAAAATAATATAATTAATTCTCTGTAAAAATGTATTTGAAATTTAAGGTTAAAAATAGCTGCGGCAGTTCACTATAACAAAATCTATAATTGGCGTTCTCCATTTGGCGTTAGGCGTTATTATCGCTTAAAAAAAGATGCAAAATTTCAAACTGCGCAAATATCTAAATTCGTGTATATCTTAGAAAATTTTGAATAAAAAAGTCTAATTTTTTGCAGGAATGCTTAGAAATACACCTACTTTAAGAAGATGGTAAAAATTTTATAGGTTATAATTCAAAATTTGTTTTGAAAAATTTATAAAAATTATTTAAAAATACAAATTTTAAAAATAAATCATAAAAAAATGAGTGAATTTTATTTGGAATTAACCTAAATTTTGAAATGTAAAAGGAAGAATCAAAAAAGTTTATATAAAATGAGATATTAATAAATATATACCAAATTCAATTAACATTGAGGAGCTAAAATTTTGAGAGCTATTTTTTTAAATTACTTTTTTAAAAATTTACAATTTTTAAATTGTGATTTTTACAAAACTTGGTAGTCTGGCATAATTTGAGTCATAGAATCGAAATATTGAAAAAAAATGACATGTCATTTCAGAAAAAAGTCCAATTTTGTGTCAAAATACCTAGGTTATAATGATGCTATATATAAATCTAATATATATCCTAAGTTGCGCTTTTGAGACATGATAAAAACAATTTGAATTTCGTCAATTGTCAAAGTAGAACGGGACACAGAACTGTCCCCACCCTTTTTTTTTTTTCGCAGTGTATATTATACAAACATCCTGTTTCATATAATATTTGTTATTATCTGCTGAATATGTGGAATACCTTTACCCACTGAGATACATTAGTACTATAACATAAATAAAGTAGCAATAAATATAATAGATATTAACCATTTACACTACAAGGGTACGCATGGGGAGTCCTCTACATTATGTTAACTTACAAATTTAACATAATGCAGAGGACTTCAGTGAAAAGGTTAGGCTCTTCTGATAATGAACAACTTTCTTGCTCACATTCTAGACTTGAAGATTTGGTGGGTAAATACAGCTTCACCTAAGTAAAATTCTTGCTTCCTAACACCACTTGTTTAACATGTGTCAGCAAAACATGCATGGTCATTTTAAACTTCTCAACACAAAAGGAGACTTAACAAAAAGTTGTAGTGATGAAAATATATACAGGGTGTTTCATAGATAATGGCACAAACTTGGAGGGGTGGTGGAGTTATACTAAAACACACATTTTTTTATAGGAATGTAGGGTCTTAAGTGACGGGTTAAGGCAGAAACGAGTCAAAGGGAGTCTCGTAAATGATGCTCTTCAGATGGCCCCTATAAAAATAAAAATAAAAATTAAAAAATGGAAGCTGGATAAATTTGGTGAACGGGTCCACCACGGCCAATCCATCGGCCCAGAAATGTCCCATCCAAGTAATTGCGTAACCGTACGTGGTTATGGGCTGATGCACCATCATGCTGGAACCACATGCAATCACAAACGACAGCCGGAACATCCTGCAGCAATTTTGGTAGCACCTCTTGCAGAAAAATATGATAACATAAGCCATTTGTACGCCTATGAGGTAGTCGTTAACAATACCCGCCCACACATTCACGGAGAAACGGGTTTGGAATGCATGTGGACGTGTGCCGTGTGGAATACGAGTTGCCCACACGTGCATGTTGTGGCTATTGAAGATGCCGTCCTGTGAGAAAGTTGCCTTGTCCGTAAATAGCACATCCAATGGGAAATCCGCCTGCGCTGCACACTGCTGCAAGAGCTAATGACAGAAATGAGCTTGAAGAGGGTAATCTGTCTCTTGCAAGGCTTGGATTCTCTGCAAATGGTATGGGTCAAACCATTTTCATTCAAAACTCTCCAAACGTTGGAATGACTCAGCTGCAGACGATGTGCAATAGCTCTTGTACTTGTCTGAGGTGATTCATGCACAATGTTCAAGATGGATTCTTCAATGCGAGGATGTCGTGCACTTCTTTCACTCCTAGTGTCAGAGGCGACTTCAAATGACCCGTTTTCACACAGAGACCGATGCAACCTCTCGAACTTTGTGTGTTTCAGCATACGCCTGTTCGGAAACCATTCCTGGTACAACTGTAACGCTGCTCTGCTGTTCCCATTAGCAGCGCCATACATGAAATGCTTGTCAGCTTTTTTCCTGTGCGTAAACTCACCCATCACGCTCGACATCAGAGTTGCGAATGATCCTCTGATGCATCGGATCGTGGTTTGTCCGGCTTACTACCACCCTCTACCACTGCATTGCCAGCCAATCACAGCTGTAGTTCCTATTACTGTTCCCTTTTTTGAACATTTATTGTGAATACTGTATTATTACAAAGAAGCACTTTGCGTTGATTTTGTACATAAACACATTTTCCTCTCGTGCCATTTTTTCACGTTCCTGCCTTAACCCGTCACTTTAGACCCTACATTCCTATACAAAAAATTCATGTTTTAGTACACTCCACAACCCCTAGAAGTTTGCCCCATGATCTATGAAACACCCTGTATAGTGTTTTTAAATTCATGGAGCAAATTTGCTAAAGAAGTAACACAGCACACTAAAACAAATATTTTTCACAATGCAACATATGACTGGACAAGAAAATGGTTAAGCCTTTTCTGGCGCATTTTACAGATGAATGTTTTTTGGTGTGTTAGGCTATTTGAATATTACAATGCACATGAGCCTAAGGGTCAAGATGTCTTTGTAAAGGACATTTGAGAAAACTGGCTCATATTCACATTATCCAAGAGAAAGAATGCTTTTGGTAATACTATCAATTACAACTGTGTGGGTCAACTAACGAATACCAAGAAATCAACATAACAGCAATTCAATAATTGTATCATGAATGCTTCTCACTGGATGAAGGGCAGATTGTAAAACATTTAAGCATTTTTACTAACCACTTTAAGAAACATGAACTTTTATGTCAGCAAGCATGATGCGAGCTGTGCAAGAGATATGGGAGTTATAAAAATAAAAAATACATTTTATCTAGAAAATATAATAAAATAAAAATAATAAAATAAAATTTTAAAAAAATCTTTTTATCTATGGTTACTTACATATTAACACAAGCACCTTACTAGAAGTCTCCAAATTTTCAGAATGTGCCAAGCTCTGGCAACCATGTGCACATTTCCCACTGACAGGCTAGAATAGATGTATGGGATAGCCACTACAATCATCAAATGCCTACATTTATTCTTAAGACATTAGAAGAGCTTTGTTATGAGACTCAGTCAAATATGTCATGTCAGTTTTTTTGCTTGCAGCTATCAAAAAACTGGTTTGGTATCTTAAAGAATCTTAAAAATCAATGTATTGAAATCATATTTATATTACTTTCGGCATTCAATCTTCAGAACCATTACTGTAAAATTAGCTGAATAAAATTCTTAATCTTGTTTTCTGTATTAGCATATCTCACTCCACTTTTAACCAATATAGCATAGCGAGAAATACTTGTTTTGGTGTTCTCAACTAGCCTCACTAGTTCCCAAAATTCAGAAATATCCAATATATAGTCAAGCTGCTTAATAAGCTGCTAAGAATTAATGATGAAACTGAGATAAATTACACCAAAAATGAAAATATATAATCTGTTATTAACAACAATGTAAATGCACAATTCTTTTTATTCTAGGTCAAATGGTGATTGACTTCTAAAAATATCTTCATTGACATTAAAAGCTGCTTAAATTGTCCCCACAACTTCAAAATAAACAATGATTTGAGATGATTTGTAATTATTATTGGAAACCTAGGCACTGGCAAAATTTTCTAACGTGAAGGGATTAAGCAGAAATTTTAGATAACAAATAGATGAAATTTATGGTACTAATTTACATTCACTTATCTGTCATTTACTTTTAACATGAAAAACCTGTCACCAAACAGTATTAGATAAATGTGGCGTCACAACACACTCTTAAGATTTTCCCCTTGGTTTTATGCAACCTTGATAAATCTATAAATCTGTTTAATTTTTTTAAAAAAAGGGTATAAGTTAAATGCCATTTTCCCTCACATTTTGGAAAACTTGAATTTTTAGATCTTTTTACACAGAACTATATGCATAGGGATATTTTCAAAGTTACAGGATTCTGGCATTAAAAAAAGTGTATAAATGAGCATGATATGGAATATTACTAGAAAAAAAGACACAGAATGATGATGTAACATGATAGATAGTGACAAACAACTATCAATTTGAACATGAATGTGGTTTGAGAGACAGAAAATTATATGTTATATCTGTAACTTGAAATTTTTGATTACCTAACTGAACAATAAATCTATTCAATCAAACTTCTGCCAAAATGATTGGTACAAATCAGGCATTGGCAGCTTTCACAGTCAATGGGGAAAGTACCACATTTCTACATCTATAAATCTAGCTTACCCAATATTCTAAAATTAAAATAGGAAATACTCAATTAATAAACATAAAACCCAGAATTTCAAAAAATTATAATAAAAATTTTAAGAATTAAATATTTCATGATCTATGCTTAGTTATCCAAACTGGCAAATCTAATTACCCAACATGTACATATAAAAATTTCAAGCATTGCCAATGGTTCATAGGATGGCTTTTTTAATAAAGAAGTACCTAAATTCATTAGTAAAAACTATTTTAAACATCAGACTTATATAACAATATGAAATTATTACTGAAATTAAATTTAATGTTATTACTCACAGAAAATGACGTAATAGGCTTTCCATTATATGCATCTAAAAGATGTATAATAGATCCATTTGTGGAAATTAAAAGCATTTTACCATTAGGACTAAATTTTAAGTCAGTCCAATCACTATCTTTTTCTTTTATAGGAGCAAAGGTGTTAAAAGGTCCCTAAAATAAAATATATATATATACATAATAAATATATATAATATTCATGAAGTATAACAATCACATCAAGGCACTTTTATTACAAAAATTATACTCTTTGCATCTACCAAATCAAGACATTTGTGTACCTTATAGTTAAATATCTTAATTACAATCATGTACAAAATTAAGAGAAATCACAAATTATAAAAAAATCTGAAAGGTTTCAGATTTTAAATTACATCCAAAGAGGTGTTTTTTTAACGTTTTGTGTGTTACCTTTATTTATTTATTATCGTGCTCTTTGCACTTAAACCATAACAACAAGCAATGTCGCAAAATAATTTTAAAATGAACATATCTTCAGAATTTCCCATACACAGTTCTGTGCGCTAGAGATAAAAAGGTTTTTTCCCCCTCCCGTAGTGTTGCCATTGCTAGCTTTTAAATCATTGAGTTTGTTAATCAAAAATTCGTTAAACTTTTAGAAAATATGAAATCGATAATAAAACAAAATCCAAACTTCAAATTTGGTCTTCCATACGCCAATATTTGCAGTAGGATTACGTCATTCAAAATTTGATGCTCTAGGTACCGTTGTTTTATCACAATGCAAGAAACATACATACATTTATGCAAATTCTTCATTATTTAATTTCTTCAAATATAATACAAGGCGATAGCATTTGGTGGCAACAATTTGAAAAGTGAAACTGACATTCAGAGTGATTCAGTGCAAAACAAAAACAATAGTCCTTCAGGGACAAAGTCCCTTTGGACTAATTATGTCTTTTTTTATGAAAATTATTTAACCCAAAGTACTAACTCAGAAGTCAAACAACAAAAATCAGCGTTATATTTACAAAATTTTCACAGGACTAGTTTCGATGGTTTTACCGAACCACCATCTTCAGCTGCAAAACCGCAAATGAACAAGATGGGAAATAATGATTAGATAAGATAAGAAAGCCTGGACAAGAATAAGCAAGTGGCGCCATCTGTTGGCGAAACCAGAACTAAAACATAATTTCTCTAAAAGCCGAAGGCAAATTTGGATTGGAATTAGGATCATTAACTAGAACAGAAAGATTTTTATGAATGTGAAATGCCTCTAGAAAATCCAGTTCTCCAATGGAAGATGTTTTTTTGAATAATTTTGGCAGCAGAAAAATTGAAAGTGTGATTTTCGGACCAACAATGTTGAGCAACAGAAGACTTCTGTGTTTCCTTTTTTCTAACATATGCCTCATGTTCTTTGACGCGAAATTTTAAGGCTCTCTTAGTTTGGCCAATGTAAATTAAACCACACTGGCAAGGAATCCTATAAATACCCCAGGAATTCATATCCGGAATGGGGTCCTTGAGTATAGAAGTCGGAATTTTATTGATAGGGAGAATAAACAACCCGAAAGTTAAATTTCTGCAAAATATGTGCAACTTTATAGCTAATTGATGGAAAGAAGGGAATGACAACAGAATTTTTATAATCTCCTAAAATAAGAGTGTGGCTTTTAGTGTGTTGAGATGAGAATTTTTTTTTTAACTGCTTGATTAATAATGTTGGGTGAAAAGCCCCTGTCATAGCTATTGCTTTTAAATAATTTAGTTCTTCATCAAGGGCTAGTTTGGAGGAGCAAACTTGAAGAGCACAGAAAACATAGGAATAAAATGAAGCTAACTTTTGTTTAGTCGGATGACATGAGTTAAAAGTGTGGTGGAAGGCAAACCGATGAAGGTTTATGGTAAACTGTAGTACTGAAGTTGGATGTGTTATGTGTGACCAGAATGTCGAGAAACGGAAGAGAATTGCAAGTCTCAAGTTCAAAAGTGAACTGAATAGCAGGATCAATAGAATTCATTGTTGAAAGAACTTTATTTAAATCATCTTTATTACCTTCAAACAGGGTAAAAGTATCGTCTACGTAGCGGAACCATGCCGGGAAGTTTAAAGTTTCAAACAATTTTGATTCATAATAATGCATGTAGATATCAGCCAGGATGGGACTGAGGGGGCTTCCCATGGCTAATCCCTCAGTTTGCTTGTAATATTTATTTTGGAAAACAAAATGTGTTTGTTTCAAACAGAGTTGAGTGAGAGAAATGAGCTCATCAATTTCGATGCAAGAGAAATGAAATTCGCGAAGTCTGGTTTCTAGACATCTTAATGCACCCTCCACTGGGACATTGGTGAATAATGATTTTAAATCAAAAGAAACCACGAGTAAATTACTAGGAGAAATGTTTTTAACCTTTTTTACAAACTCTATTGAATTTTTTATGGTGTAAATGTTATTGTCTAATAGAGTGGAAAATCTAGAAACTAAATATTTAACTAATGGATACGAGGCAGTACCTAAATTTGATACAATAGGGGGGAAAGGAATACCACTTTTATGAATTTTGGGAAGAGCATATAATCTGGCACAATTTGCAACAGATGGGATAAGCGAATGTTTTAAGTTGCTTGAAATGATTTGCGAAAATTGGATCGCAGTTTTTATTTTGAACAAGTCCGAAGGTGAAGGATCTTTAGGGATCGGATTATATGGTCCTTCGTTTAAGAGTTTAGTGACACCATCGATGTAAGTGTTCTTATCCATGACGACTATCTGGCCACCTTTGTCGGCCTTTGAAATGATAATATCCGGGTTAGAATAAATTTCGCGCATTGTAGCTCTTTTCCAAAGTACTATTTATGCTGCTGAAGATTTGTGCAAATATTCAGAGTACAAAAACGTACATGCGAGTGTCAGCAGAACTATTATTATAGAGGGAATATAAGCACATGAGGAGCTTCAGCAATTTGTGTGCTCGTAGTAGGGTTATCTGCCTAAGGGAATGGATGCCTTCATGGAGGACTTTAAAAGGGAAACTTGCTCATGTATAGGTTACGCATGGGAAAAACCACAAAAACATAGCTTGTTTGCTGAGATTCAAACCTCGGACTGAAGTGTCCAGCGACTTCACTTTGATGGGCCCATTGGTAAATTGGAGACAGGCCAATCATAAATGCATGTGGCTAGAGAGCTCAATCTATTGCTTAGTGTCATCTAGTTTGTGGAAACAATTTCAGGACATTGAATCCAAATCGAGAAGTCCTGGACAAGGTCGACTAAGACCTAAAACAACGAATAAGGATCATTATTTAACATATTTAGTGCGTCGACACAGAGCTGCTATAGCTTTACAGCTCTCCTGTGTACTACCACTGGAACAAAAGTTTCATAGTCTACAGTTGACCGAAGACTTCATGAGATAGGGTTGTATGCCACAAGACCTGTTGTTTGCATTCTGGTAACTGCAACACACAAGAGCTTTTAGCATGACACAGATAGCCTTCGTCTTGGGCTAGACTTTAGTGGAACATCCTGCTTTTTACAAAAGACTCAAGATTAAGCTTGGACACAATTCTTTGCCTGCCTGTATCTGGAGAAAGCCTGGAACATACCATCGCTCCCTCATCAGGGAAAAAGATCATTATGGTGATGGAGGTGTAATGATTTGGGTAGTCCTTATGTTGTACAGCTGCACATCCCTGCATGTTGTTGACAAAAGTTCCCTGATTACTATGAGGTAAAATGAGAAGATTTGAGAGCCCTACGTTTAAATTTTGAGGGCTGCAGCTGGTCCTGGGTTTCTGTTTATGAATGACAACACTCATCTACATAGGATTCAGATGGTCAACGATTAACTGGAAAGTGAGGACATTCGCCACACAGACTGGCCAGCTAGATCTCCTGACCTTACATACAGTCTGTCTGGAATGCTCTTTGGAGGACAATTTCATCTCGCTGTGATCATCTGAGTACTATCCAGGAGCTGAACCTTCTCTGCTGAAGGAGTGGGACCGATTGCCACAGGGACTCCTCACCCGCCTCCTGTAGAATATATGCTGTCATGCTGCGCGATTTGTCTGGCTGTGAGAGGGGACCATACACCGCATTACACTCATTTTCAGTATGACATATAACAACATCGATTTTGGACATTTCTGCACTATAAGCTTTGCTGATAATCATGCATACATAAAATGACTTTTGAATGGTACACTGTGCAAAAAAAAAAAAAAAAAAAAAAAAGAAGAAGAAGAAGAAAGGGGAAACAGTTCTATATCTCCCGTTCTACTAGGCCAATTGAATTCAAATTGCGTTGTTCATGTCTCAAAAGGGCGACTTAGGATATGTATTAGATTTGTATATATAGCATTGTTCTAATACATTTACTTTGACACAAAATCGGACTTTTTCTGATATTTCGTATTTTCTTTCATACCAATTTTTTTACATATTTCGATTCTATGACTCAAATTACGCCAAACTACCACGTTTTGTAAAAATCACACAAGTAGTTTTTAAAAAATTGGCTCTTAAAATTTTAGCTCCTCAATATTAATTGAATTTGGTATATATTTCTTAATCTCTCCTTTTTTATTAAACTTATTTGATCCTTCTTTTCACATTTCAAAATTCAGGCTCTTTCCAAATAAAATTCACCCATTTTTTATGATTTATTTTTAAAATTTGTATTTTTAAATAATTTTTTTTTTAATTTTTCAAAAAAAAAAAAATAATTAATTTTAATCTATAAAAATTTTACTATCATCTAAAAGTAGATGTATTTCTAAGCATATATGCAAAAAATCAGTTTTTATTCAAAATTTCTGAAGATATACGTGAATTTATATATTGGTGCATTTTGAAAGTTGGCATATTTGTTGACAGCAATAAAACATCAAATGTGATTCAGACACTTTGTTAAAATTATTTGAAAGTAGGAATGATGTGACTAACTGCTCATGCACAATGTAAAAAGATAGGAACGAGGTGCCTTTCTTTCTGCTCAAGCATAATGGAAGGGAAAGTAAAATGGGTTGCCATATATTAAGAATTTAATCAAGTGAATTATTCTTGGCGCAAACTGAAAAAATTACAGCAAGAAAAAATTTTGAATTTCTTCGTAAATTTTGCACCAAATTTTACAAAATTTAATGTCGAGGCATAATTTGAGCCGTAGAATTGAAATATGGAAAAAATTGGTATGTTATTTTAGAAAAAGTCTGATTTTATGTCAAAATATCTATGTTAGAACAATGCTATATATAAATCTAATATATATCCTAAGTCGTGCTTTCGAGACATGAAAAACGCAATTGAATCGGCCCAGTAGAACGAGAGGTATAAGAACTGTCACACACACACCCCGCAGTGTACATCTCTTTCTTTGTTATAAGTGTATATTCACAACAAATTTAATTAAAATCTGTCCATTAGTTTTCAGAAATTCGACATAATATGCAAATTCTCTTAATTTTGCATACGAGTTTTTTTCAGACTGTAATCTTTATGCTAGATGTTTGCCGAATGAAATGAACTTTTGAACTGTTAATCAAATTATTAACAATAATGAGACAGTTAATTGGCTGTTATACATAACTCACATTTTCCACCAATTAGTATACACAGCATTTATCATTTAAGTAAAAAAAAAAAAAAAAAATTTGTTGAAGCTCTCTACAGGCCTAAATGAAAATGGTTTGGGCCAACTTTATCAACCATTCAGTGACATTTTGTTCCAGTTCCTATACAACTCCTAACTGGTTCTGTAATTAATCCCTATATATAAACTATATCCAGCCCTTGTATATAACTTTAATCTTTTATGCCTTCCAGCGATTTTGAGAAATGGAAGCTAGTAGAGATTTCTTGATGGCCAGGAGAAAACTGAATAAGCCCAGAGAGAGCATCAGTTTCCACATTGTTTAGTTCAGTGTGAGTTCGGAGTATTGAGATATCTCCATGCAAGCTTTGACCTTTTGATGCGCTTTGGAATGTGTTTAATGTTTTTATTAATTTAAAGTGTAATTACTGACTGTACTCTGTTAGTGAAGAGCAGTATGAGTATTTTTGTAGAAAGTTCCAGAACTGTGAAGTGTTTCTTTTGGTAAAATAAATTTTATCAAGCTACCATCAGTTCTATGTGCATTCAATCTATTACAAACCCCTATGCATGCAACAATATGGTTTTAGGAACATGTATTTATGCAATGAAAAATACATTGCGTACATACATGTTCATAAATCACGGTCAAGAACATGTCATAGCATACTGGAGCAGATGTAGATGTCTACTTAAACAAGACAGGAATTACTGTGTTACAAAGAAAAGAGTTCCTTGCAATAGTTAAAGCCATAGAATATTTCCATTATTATCTCTACAGCAGAAAATTTCTTCTCCACACCAATCATGTATTGTTGACTTGTCTCTTAAATTTTAAGAATTCTGAAGGCCAAATAGCCAGATGGAATATGACATCTGGCTATTTGGCCAGATGTCATTGAAACTCCAGGAATATGACATCGCAATCCATCATTACAAAGAATCATCATACAGAAATGCTGAAGCCCTGTCTAGATAACCCTGTCCAGAAAGCTATTGATATTGTTCGAGAGTCAAAGAGAAACACAAGTTGGTTAATCTGGTTGCAATTTACAACTTCAATATATTCTGATTCAGATTCATGGAGTGACGAAGTCAGAAGAGACTAGTTGGAAGACAGAGACATTAAACCTATAACTGAATGGAATCTTCAAACAGGAAACCTATCTGGCAGGACATTTCAATCTGTAGTCGTATGACAAAACAACATTGGACTCTAAAGGAGTCCTTCCATATTCAAAACAGCATCTTGTACTGGTGTGTGTGATTATGACAAAGCCCCGAGGGCTATCTGCCTAAGGGGGGATACCTTCGTGGGGACTTTCCAAGGAAAACTGGCTCGTATACATGTTACACATGGGGAAAACCACAAAAACGCCCATGCAGCCAGACCGTTTGCGGGATTTGAACCTCGGACCGAACTACCAGTGTTCAGCGACTTTACCGCTCGGCTGCTGGTGGGCCATCTTGTACTGGAAGTTTGAATCAGATGATAAATAGAAAGGCATTCTGATAGCAGCTGGTCATTCCAAGATTCTGAATGCAGTCGAGGGAAGGGACAACATTAGAATGTAGGCGTGCTTTTCGAGCCCATTACTTTTTGACATCTTGGGGCTTCTGCTGCTGATGGCAACAAATGCATCCTCATTTTTATTAATTACTTCACAAAAATGGCCTGAAGCATATCTTATTCCTCATCAAGAGGCTGTCACACTAGCAAAGGTAATGCAGCACTGGATTTCCAGGTTTCGAGCGCCACTTCAGAAACATTCCAATCAAGAAAGAAATTTTATTTTAGTATAATTAAGGCATGACAGAGACAGTTAATTGAACCATCTTTAATAACCTCCCATTGATGGTTTCCAGAAACCAGCAGTATTGGGACCAGAAAATACCTCTGTTCTTCATGGCCTACTGCAGTGGTGTCCATGAGACTAATTACCCATCCCAAATGCTCTTCTGTCGCAAACTTAATCTGCCTTGTAATCTGTAGCATGGTCACCCTCTGAACGGACCTTCATCGCAGAGAAGTACATTCAAGATCTCCAGGCATGGTTTGAAGTGACACATAGATCTGCATTAGAGTGAGTTAACTTGCTGATAAAGATGATGAAGACTTGATACAACATGACAGCTACAGGACATCAATTCGATGAAGGTGATGAGGTGGGTTTATGGAATCCAATTTGACAGAAAGAAAGATCTTTTGAGAAAAGATCCAGAATTATAGCATTTCTGTTAGGGAAATAAATTTTATCAAGCTATCATCAGTTCCATGTGCATTCAATCCATTATAACAATATCCCATAATCCCATATGCATACAAGAACATATAATCATATTTTCCTAAAATAATACCAATCAACAACTATTTTTTCATGAACCCGTTTCTATTCTTTTGCATGTTAGATCAAAGATTTTCTCTCAAGTTCATTAAAATCAGCTTCTCAATTTTTAATTTTACATTTTTTTATTTTTTTTATTTAAAATCTTTGATCTAACATGCAAAAGAATAGAACCCATTTCGATTCTTTTGCATGTTAGATCAAAGATTTTCTCTCAAGTTCATTAAAATCAGCTTCTCAATTTTTAATTTCTTGCAGCTCTAAATATAGAATAATGTATTTTTAATATATTCTTAGCAAAAAGTTCATTTCTAATGATGCATGCTCTATTGAAGAATTTTCTCTAGAAACGTGATGGAGCAGTATAAGTTTAAAGCAATTAAATATAATTAACTTAAATCTTCTAAAAACAAATCACAGAACACACAGGATCATGGTTATCTTGGCAAAAAATGTTAAAATATCAATATTTATAATATAAAAATTAATATTTTCCCCTGATGCCGTTTCATACATATTCAATATTAAAATATTAATATTTCCCTTAATTTCATACCACATTTCCCACACTCAGCTTAATTCTTTCGCAGCTTTTATTATTTATATCTTTTTGTGAATGAACTGTCATCAATTTCCACAATTCACATTCATCAATTTTAATGTCAGAAGGAGATAACTACTTATCAGATCACACCTCTCAAATAATTATTCCAATCAACTGACATGAAAGAATTTGATTTGCAAATCTCAATAAGTATTGATACCATAACTAAATTAATAATGACGAAAAGAATATGTGATCACATAAACAATGATCCCGTTCAGAATACCTTTTTATTCCGGGCATGAACAATAGCTGTACAAACATTTTGGCTTCTGTGTTGTACTTTAATTTCATAAGATGGTTATTTGAATACTATTTTTTTGGGCGGGAAGACAGAAAAATGTTTTTTTTCTTGTAGAAACAGGGTAGCCACTAGTTCGTTTCTTGGCAAAACCTAAGTCATGAAATGCATTGCAATTAAAAAGAAACTTTTAAGATGAAAAACATGGTCATGCAAAAAATGGTCATAATGACAATTACTGCAAGGAAAGAAGCTTAACCAAACTGGTAATAAGGAAATATGCCACCAAAAAAAAAAAAAAAAAAAGTGCCAAGTAATACGGTTTAAAGAGAAAAATACTCAAATATCTACATCCAGAAGACAATATAATTTAAAAATTTCTCTTCAACTAATGGTGATGTAGTACACTGCAATAAAGAACGATAACTGAATTTAAAGTAATGCAGAAAACATTCAGAAAGCAAAAAATCTGAAAACAGGGAGTCTACCTGAAGGTTTTGTTTCCATCTTACCCAGCCTTAGGTTGCAATATGAAACAAATTGCATTTGTTTCAATCTCTTATTTGTATTCCTACCTCCCTGAAAATATGGAAACAGCTTAAACATGGGAAAAGCTTTCATCAGGATACTGGTCATATGGAAAAGAAGTATTGCGTAAAATGTAAACCAAAATATTAGCTTATTGCTCTTGAACTATTACAGATGTCATACAATGCAAGAAAAATGATCACCAAATAAAGTAACAATAAAGGTTTCATAATTTGAAGCAGATAGTTATAATCAATTAAATTCCACATCTGAAATATTTTTGAAAAAAAATTTGCACGCTAATTTTTAAGAAATATTTTAACTTTATATATTTTCTTCATTCAATTAAAACTGATGGATGATAAATAAAAATACACTCCATATTTGTATTCAAGAGTATGAAATCTGTGAAAACAGAAACAGGAAGACAATAATTTTCTGCTACTTTTCAAAGCCAGGAAACAGATAAGAATAAATTTTTTATCATTAAAAAGCCAAAATATTTCTAGCATGCCTTGCCCTACCCCTCACAAAAATGTTTTCAAAATCAAACACTGGTACTTCTGATCCATCACTAAAATTAAAATGCTGACTATAACAAAATACACACAGAAAATTATAACTAATTATCAAAAATACGAAATTAGTCTTTCAATAGACATGGTTATGTATCAGAAACTTTTCTCCTTTTGTGTACAGAGAAAAATATTTTGCATATAAACTGCATCTAATGAAAAGGTAAAAGATATGAATAATTATTTTAAAGCAAAATAAACACACCTTATCAAAAGATCTCAAATCATATAATCTCACATCTTCAGTACTATTTGCAACAGCAAAAATTAAGCCTTCAGGATCAAAGCTAGCAACAGGCCGATCGGATTGAGTAATTAATCCCTGTAAAAAATTAAACAAATATTTAAAACATTAGACAGTTATATAGCACATAACGAACTAAAATCAAAATACAGATAGACTAAAAATATTTTTTTAATCTGAACAAATCAGTTACAGTCAAAAGTCGTTAATTCGGACACCTATAATCCGGACCTCAAAGCTAAAAACTTTCTGCGCATGCGCCGCGTTGGCACATGCGCACAGGCGTTTTACGCGTGCGCGTAAGACCTTGACTACTGCGCATATGCGTGTGCGCAAGTGCAGAATACGTTTTCGCCTGCGCGTTTAATGTATAACGGACGGTGTAAGCTAAAATTATCTAATTATCTATTTCAGTTAATGTTAATGATTGCGTTGTTCCTTAATCTTCGAATTGGATCCCGCTTATTATTTTTTGCAGACTGTAAGAGCAATTTTATAAAAGTAAACTTGAACTTTCGATTATGTCAAATAGAATTTCCGATGCTGGAACTTCCAAAGGATCTACAAAACGAAAGTATGTTTCGATGTCCAACAAACAAAAAGTGGAATTGCTGCAAAAAATGGATAAAGACATGAAGAATGTGACAGAGAGGTTAGTGAAAACGAAAAAAAATTTCGATTGACAAGTTAGTCGGTATTCTCGGCACAGCAATTAACGGGACTTGAACAGCAGAACTTTGTAACTGAACAAGAAATTATGTCTGTTTATAGAATTAAAGAGAAAGTATTATCACATAAAACGAAGCAACTTAAACAACTTACATTGAAAGAAATGTAATAACAAATAAATTATAAAACAGAACAGAGATAAAGTAAACAAATAAATATTATTTATTTATTTATTTTTTGTAAATTTTGATACCCTTTAGATCATAATTGTTCTTTATTTCATATTTTTAATTTTAGAATTTCTGCATGCCATCTTACGAGATTTAAAATGATGATCTATAATCCGGAATCGCCGAAGTCCCGACGAGTCCGGATTAACGACTTTTGACTGTAATTATATAAACTTTACTTAGATTAATATGTAAGAGTGGGCTATAGAACAAAAAGGATCTCTGATGTATGGAAAATACAGTTTTAAGAATCCCTTTCACATGTAACAAATAAATACTAAGTTTAAATTTTTGTAATTTCTTTTTTGTTTGTTTGTTTATTTTTAAGATACTGTTACATAGTTGATAACGGCCCACCAGTGGCCAAGCGGTAAAGTCGCTGAATACTGGTAGTTCGGTCCAAGGTTCGCATTCCATGAATGGGCTGGCTGCATGGGTTTTCATGGCTTTCCCCAAGTGTAGCATGTGTACGAGCCAGTTTTCTTTAGAATGTCCTCCATGAAGGCATCCCTTCCCTTAGGCAGATAGCTCTCGATGCTTTGCCGTAATCACATAAACCAAACCATAGCTGATAACAGTGATTAAAAAATTAAAAGATCGAAATATATCAAAAATTTATTTCACTAGAAAACAAAATCTCTGTAACTTTTACAAATTAGTTCAAGACAGATTACGCGATAGAAATTAAGAAAATACAATAATTTTCTGAATATAAGTTCTCACATAAATTCTTTCTGAGTATGTGCATCCTTTAAATTAAATTAATTATAATACTAATATATAAAAATGAAAGTATATATGGCTGTCTAGACACTTAGGTATATGTAATGGATTCATTTAGTACACAAGCTATTCAAGCATTCTAAATTTCAATCCTGCTTCCAAGAAATGTCTGAAAAACTATACAATAAATGTTACTAGAAACATGTTTTGTAGCATGAAGCTATCATGAACAATAAAATTACTATTTAAATAATCATACACCTCACTGAGTGATTAAGACCACTGGATACTAGAAGTTTGACTTAGTTCAATCCCAGGCACATGGGCTGACTGTAAGGCAATTTTCTCCCATAACAAGAATATGAATCAGTTTCCCTTCAGAAAATCTATATTAAGGCAAGCCTTCCCTCAGACAGCCCTTGTGTGCATTGTCATTTTAAAATTATTTTCAAATGACTATATTATTTAGGCAACAAAGCAAGCATGAACCCTCTTCATGGTAACCCTCCATGGCTTAAGATTTCAGTCTTCTTAAAAGTAGTATGGGAACAATTAATACATGAAGGTAATTTCCATAATGAATTTACACTATTCCAAGCTCTCAGAATCTGTTAAAGAAAAGGCAAAAATGCAATGCATCACTTTCTTAATACCACCATGTTAATGAAATTCCAATAAGTACTAAAAATAATTTTTTAAAAAAAACTTAAGCATTGCTATTGCAAAAGGAAACCCTTCAGAACTAAAATTGTTTTCTTTTTTCATCAGTTAGTTCTAATACACTCTAAATTGTTCTACTAAAATTATAGTTCAAAAATTAAATATGAAAGAAATGCCTACCAAACTTGTTATGAAAAAAGCTACAAGAGTTAATTTTAAAATAGTTTCCATATACCTACAAACATATCATTTTTATTTTTAAATTCGTTTTAACATGAATAATATAGTTTTTAATTTCACATTCGTTAAAATTTAAACTTGCACTGTGCATCCACAAAATTTTAGGATTAAAACAATTACTATTATTTGTTTTCGAACAAACCTGATAAATAATAGAATTTATTACTAAGACATCTCAAGCTGCTTTTCCTAGATATCTGATTAAGATCACAATTTTCTATGCAGCTAATTGCTTGCTATGACTCAATGTACATGGATTCAAGACCTGAGCGAAATCTAGCAATACATTTTGCTCTAAATTGAGAAAAACAGCAATAGAGACATTTGAAATGTTGTGTAAAGAATATGAGGATCAAGCATTAAAGATAATTTCAAGATGCAAAGATGCTGATGACAAAACAAAAAGTGGTAGATAATTTGCTGACAAACATACAGGAATATAAAACAAGTCCGAAATTTTTTTAAATATCGTCGGTCTCTTTGAATGGTCATTATATCTCTAATAAGAAGATCAAATTCTTGCATTTAAATCCATGACAGCCCAATACACAAGCATTTTGGTAATAAACCAACAGAAAAACTATGATAAATCATGAGACGACATTTTAAACAATACTTTAAATTAAGAACAGTTTCCAAATGTCATAAAAATTCCATGTATATGACATACAGTAGTTTAAATATGTTTGAATCAATATAAGTATATTACCACATTATGTACCAATTGCACATTCTTCATACAAATAGGCAAGTATGTAATGCTTTCAAAAATTACTTTGAATGCTAGAACTGCCAGGAATACTTAAAAATTTTATAAACTATAAAGCTGTATACTATTTATAAAGCAATTCACATGGTACTTGCACTTTACTTATGACAAAAAAATTCAATTAACTTTCAATTTATATTACAGCAAAGTTTTGTAAAGGATGAAATCAGAGCAAAGTAGCTTTTTGTTTTTACCTGGCAATTAGGAGATCTAAGATCCCAAAGTCTCACTGTTTTGTCTAAAGAACCTGAAAGTAGCAAATCATCTACAGGAGACATGGAGAGAGATAACACTCTGGAGGGGAAAAAAAAGTTTAATATAAATTTTTATTTTAATTTTCTTTTTTACACTAAAGCGGTTCAAAACTATAGCAATATGTTTGCATATATTTATTTTTTTCATATTATTATACATTCCCCCCCTACACAAACACTATTAATCAACTTACACAATTTAACTGCAAACATAATAATTATTAAAAAATATATAAATTAGCACTGTCAAAATAAAATATTGTTTTAAATTACTTTTATTATATGTACCAAACACAGACTATATTTTACAGTGAAATCAATAAATTTTGATTAACATATTGCATTTACTTGGAAATAAGATCACTCCTTGCATTTTAAAATAAATTTTATTAACAAGTAGGCAAATATTTGATGAGAACAAGATTCTAATTAGAATTCATTTTTTTAATATAGTGAAAGGAAATTACCTAATTAAATACAATATTGTACTATGGTATACAGAGAAAAATTAGAAAAAATTAATGATACCTTATTACCTTTTTTTTTTTTTTTTTTTTAAGCGAAACAAATGCTAAGCTCCAACACTGTAAGTATACTTCTGCATTCATTCAAACAACTAATTAACAGCATGACCAAACGCACTAATTTAAATATTAGTAATTTACAAGATCTGGTAATGTTTATATACAGTAATAATGTTTATATACAATACTTTAAGACATTTCAAGAGAAGATAAGGGTTCTTTTTTACAGAAATAAAACTGTTTTCCAGAAGATAAAATAAAATTTTGTTCCTGAAAAATTCCAATAAATATCATTACAAGACATTTAGAACTCATACCCAAGTAGCACAGCAATGTCAACTCGTCGCGGATGTCGTTGCAAAAACATTGTACAGTCAAAAGTCTTTAATCCGGACTCGTCGGGACTTCGGCGATTCCAGATTATCGGTTTTATAGATCATCAGTTTAAATCTGGTAAGATGGCATGCAGAAATTATAAAATTAAAAATATGAAACCTTAATTTATGAAATAAAGAGCAATTAAGATCTAAAGGTGATCAAAATTTACAAAAAAAAAAAAAGCTTCATATTTATTTGTTTACTTTATTAAACATTTCTTTCAATACGCGCATGCGTAAAGCATACATTATGTATAGTCGAAATTAGAAAATTGCAACCAGAAAACTATTTGATGTGTATTCGTGATATTTATAATGACGAGGAATTTGATTTAAATCATATCAAAGACGGAGTACATCGAGATGAAATACTACATTTAGTAAGGAATTATAAGCCGAATAAAATAAAATCTGCCCTGAAGATAAGGATAGTGCTGACAGATCAACTTTCAGTTCATTGCACGCCGCGTCGTCCCCCCCCTCCCCGCAGAGCAGCGTGAAATTGATACACATATTTCGGAATGATTAGAGAATCGAAGGATATGCCTTTATCCATTTTTTGCAGCAATTCCACTTTTTGTTTGATGGACATCGGAACATGCTTTCGCTTTTTAGATCCTTTGGTAGCTCCAGAATCGGAAATCCTTTTTGACATAATTGAAAGTTCAAACTTACTTTTATAAAATTGCTCTAAAAGCCTGCAAAAAATAATAAGCCAGATCCAATTCGAAGTTTAAGGAACAACACAATCTGCAACATTAACTGAAATAGATAATTAGATAATTTTAGCTTAGCTTATACCATCCGTTATACATTAAACGCGCATGTGTAAATATATTACGCGCATGCACACACGCATATGCGCAGAAAGTTTGTAGCTTTGAGGTCCAGATTATAGATCAGTCCGGATTACGGGTGCCCAGATTAACGACTTTTGACTGTATTTGTTATTGATTTCAAAAGGTGTACAGAATCAAAAAGTAAGAATCATTTTTTCTTGTTATTGGCAGGGTTGCTGACATGAGTTGACATTTGTTTATGACCTAACTTCTGAAACATGTTCTTGTTTATTCTATTATTATCAGAAATCATTGAAACAACTGATAATCCTGCTTCGTCCAGAATATGAAGAGCTTTGCGAGTCAGACAGCATAATTTGCATTCTTATTATTATCAGGAGCAAAGGCAACAGTTTCTTTATAAGATGAATAAATAGAGCTTATCATGAAAGCTGTACAGATGTAGCTTCAGTATCGCTGTACAGATGCAGCTTCAGTATCGCACTTACTTTCTGTAAAATCTGATATTGATTTCCCTTCATAAGCAATTGATTTCTTTGCATAGATTTCATCAATTAGTATATTTACAATTCTATTTCCATTGTTCAATTTGTCAAATTTTTCATTCGTGTACTTTTTTTGTATTCACATTAAGTAACGAATTGTTGTGATTCAGAATGCTTGCAATCCTACCTAACGATTGGTTGATGGGATTGACAACAATTGGTTAATTGGATTTTCCATTTCCATCCATTTCGAATGAAAGATCGTTACTAGAAAAAAACAAGCAGTAGTAAATCATATACGAAGAAAATTCACCAGCACTTGCGAAAACATACAATCCATGCATCCACTTCGAACACAAGGAAAGAAACACCAAAAACGACTACGCCTAAAAGCAGTCAGCTCACAACGTCGAGAAATTGTGAAGATGCAACGGCAAACATTTTACGTCTTCGCCGCATTGTAGAGACGTCGTAAAAGTTACCATGACCACTTTGCAACATCTTTGCTCTGTCATGTGCTACTTGGGTATAGTTACTATGCCTCCTCTCAAAATTAAGTTCAGTTTTTCTTTTTTTTTTCTTTTTTCTTTTCTTTTCTTTTCTTTTTTTTTTTTTAAGAACTGTTTAAAACAATTCAAATCTAGTCACAAATTCATTTTACACATCTCTAATCACTACAAAAAAATATATGTTGGCTTCCAAAATTTAAGCATGCAATACAAAATAGCAGTCTTTGAAGCATAGTTTAATTAGCTTGGCCAGCTGCGGATGCAGATGGCAGTATGCAAACACTGTATGTTATAGCCAGTCAGGACTTACTATCTGAACGTATGCTAATTAAGCAGTCTAACGATTTTAAGAGTTTAGTAAAAGTTTAGTTTAAGAGTTTAGGTAAAAATAGCCCAGATTTAACACAAGGAATAAGAACTCAGAAATTCATACAATTAAATAAAAAGTACAGTATAAAATACAGTAAAGAAAGTACAGTATAAAGTCCTTTATAAAGTTACTGAGAATACTTGTACTGTACTTGTAGTAACTGTACTTAAGTATATAACTATACTAAAGTAGTTGTATATAACTGCACTAAAGTTACTGAATTTAAGTATAAAGTTACTGTACTTAGAAAGTACAGTATAAAGTCCAAAATCCAAACATTTTATCCAGACAACTAGTCAAAAAATAAAATAAATATAATAAAATAAAGTTCTCATTCCCTAAGTCTAGGAATAGAGAAAATAACTCAACAAAAGGAAGCAGATGTGTCACGAGTGCAATTTTTCTGCTGAGATCCCCACATATTATTTTCTAACAGTTACTGCCTAGGGAGTTGCACTGTGGTCAGTAACAAAACATTGATTGACACTGTATTGATGCCAGCCAGGATCACATTTTTGGTCAGGATCACACTAGGGTGAACAAGGCCAGTGCTACACATTTTGCCATTTGGTGCATTCTCTACGGGTCTTAATTTCTGCTGCCTGGTAGATCCCTAAATTCTACATTTTGCTGCCTATAAATTCAGCTACCTAGTACCTTCACTAAATTCTAAAATCTTCACCATCCCCAATTTTTGTTGCTCAATGTGGCTATATTCTGTTACAGAGATCGGACTTGTTACCAAATGTTATATTAAGCTTGCCATTTTGCTCTACCAGAGTAATGTTCCGAGAAATTAATTCCATTAACATTTTTATCATAGATATGGAAATTTGAGACTTACCTAATGATGAAAATTTTCAATACAATTTCTTTGCGAATGAGGAGTTATTTACCGTGAGAGAAAATGTACAAAAAACCATGAAATGAAGCTCTACTTCAATTCCAAGGAAGCACCTAAAAGATGTAAAGGTATGATGCACTGAGAGGGGGGGGGAAGACTACGTTCCGAAAATTGGTTTGAAGGATCAAATGGTTTTTGTAAATGGCAATTTGCTTTATTTATGGATGGTGTTTTGAATTAATTTCTATTGAATTGTGTCGGTATCAATTTGCTATGAATCATTGTACTACTATTGATTGAAATAGTTATATGAAGAAAGTTTATGATTATGCATTAATGTCTAAACCAGTGGTTTCCAAAGTGGTTCCTATGGTCTCCCAGAGATCCTTATGGCTGAGAGAGTCTGTAGGAAATTAAAAATTAATTTGGTGGTGTGTGGACAATGTCAGGGGGGTCCGCGAATAGTTTAATAAAAATGAAATACTTGTGGCCCATTTTCATTATTATAAGTTTAAAAAAATACAAGTAAATAAACTCGAAGCAACTTTTAAGTAATAAGCAAAATAAAACTAATATATCAGCAAATAAACTCAAGTAATTTGTATGTCGGGAGTAAAATAAAACAAATTGTGCCCCAATCTTTTTACAGATAACAGTCTGAAGAAATAATGCACACAACATAATATTGAATATTTAAAATATGGCTTTATTCCATCACCAGAATATAGTACTTTACCCGAGTCCCTTATGTGCAATAAAATGGTATCAGATGAATCAACGAAGCTTAAGAAATATTTGACAAAAGCCCATAGTGGCAAAAAAGATAAAACATTTAACTCTTTTAAAATAGTCAAAGAAAAATATTTGAAAAAGACTATCACTGCAACAATAACTAAAAGATATTATGATGGATTGCATGCTTCTTACATTTCTTTACTGACGTTGTAAGTGAAGTAATATGCACCATGCTGCATAAATATACATAATACGAAGAATGACGAGGAGTAATAATACAGTACAAAGAATGACCGACAAAATGGCTAAATGCATAGAAAATTCTTTATACAAGTACTTAAAAACATCTGAATTCTCTATATAGTTTGATGAATCTACTTTGCCATGACAGGATGCTTTATTATTTGCTTTTGTGATATTTAAAAAAGAAGAAACAATTTCTCAAGAAATTTTTATTCATCACATATTTGGAAACTGGTACAAAAGGTGAAACAATACTTCATGAATTAAAAAGATTTTTTGATGTAAAAGCTAGACCTTTGAGTAATAGCCTTTCCAAAGCTTCCGACAGTGTAGCAACAATGGTAGGATGACACTGAGGCTTTCCGGTAAAATCTGTACATCCGTCGAACATCTGCACAGTCACCAAAAATCTTGGTGAACCCTTGCATGGCTCACTAGGGTTAGAGTAGACTGAAGGGTACTCCTTGTATTATCGCAAAGTTGTTGTTTCATTTATCACCAAGTTATCGTTTCGTTTATTGCCAAGTTATTGTTTCATTTATGACCAGAGTAGTTGAATGTTCCGTAAATATATTTTTTATCTAGAATTGGGCGCTCCTTTGATTTTTTAAGTGAAAAAATATCGATGTGTACATGGACAAAGTCAAGGGAGTGCACAATGCTAAGTTTGTACAAATCTCTGATTTTTTTTTAAGTGAAAATAGGTCGACATGTACATGGATAAAGTCAAGGGAGTGCGCAAACTCGGTATCCATGTATTGCCAATTTTCATCAAGGGGTACCCATAAATATACTTTTACTCCCACTAGTTTATGTTATTAAAGCAGTTACTAAAATCAAAAGGAATGCCTTAAATGAAAGATTATTTATTCATCTTTATTTGGAAAATGATGAAGATTAGTTGATTAGTTTATTATTTAACACAGAAGTTCGTTGGTTACCTAAAAGGGTATGTTTGGACCAATTTTAGACACTCTGAATGTTAATTCCTGAAAATGAAAGATAATGATCTGCCGCTCAGTTTAATTAATTCAAAAAATGAGCTTACATGACTGATTTGCCAAATTTAGTGATACCAAAACTAAATAATATGATCTGTGCTTACTGCAAAACTTTTCACTTGGGGACAGCACAATGCTCTCAGTTTCATAATCCTTAAAATTGCGAAAATGAGATGAAAATTTACTTATTGTCAGCACTAACTGGCTCTTCATTCTGACCTCAGCAAAAGATTTGAAAACATTTCTCACTTGAATATTCCCAACTGGATACAGAACCCCTCTGCAAGTAAAGCCACACACTCAGATAAATCGAATACTAATACATGAGAAATTCACTGAATTATTCACAAATGAACAACTGAAACCAGTGAACAAGGATACCACAAAGTCTGGTTATAAAGAGATGTACTAATTTTATATCCTACATTATGAGTCACTATAGAGAAGATGCTCATTGCTTTCCCTTAACCTCTTCTCATCCGTGACGCGTCTAGCGCGTTCAAGTGAAACTTCTGCTTCTGCAGGGCAGCCGTAATGTGCTTCAAGCATTCTTCTACATTTTAAAACTTTTAAATGTTTAAAATGCTTTTGTTTTACCGAAAGGCACTTTATAGACGACATTCCACCTACTGCAAATCAGAAAGAACCAAGAAGGTATTACACTTGTTGGTTCTTTCTGATTTGCAGCAGAAAACAACAGAAAAAAAGAAAGAACATTGTTAGGAAAAAGGTGTGCAAAGATACATAATACTATTGTAAAGAATGTGATGTATAACCTCATGTTTTAGAGTTTAACGCGAAAAATTTATAAAGAAATAGAGATCTATTCAAGGAAAATGTCAGTACAATTTGAATACATTTTTCAAAATAATAATTGTGTTTTATTTCCTTATAATTTTACTTAATATTCGTTTACATTCATCCATTGCGAACAGATGGAAAGTTATATCTGTACAGAGAAAACATTATATGCGGCGAAAAACAGATGTCATTGGGAAGAAATTTTTGCGGATAGGAGAGGAGGGAGAAAGGGTTAACTTTCTATTCAGTAGCATGTGGATTTACTGTAGTTATAAAACTTACTGTGAAATGGAGTTATTCACATACACAGAGCCAAACATAAATAATTTCATATCCTCCCATCAGGTTAACCCATCATACTATGGTAATTTTTTTTTTTTTTAATTTTAAAAAGTTATAATTTTAATAAATATTACTTTAAGTATCAAAATGCTTTTTTTTATATTTTATTTTCCCATCACTACTTACCATTCAAGACAAAATTAAATTTGTAACTTTCTATTATGCTTTTATATAGAGTTATTTCACTTAGGGACTCAAGACCATGTTTTTGTTGGAAGAATGGTGCTGTAAATCACTGGTTTAAACCAGTAGTTAAACAGCACTGATAATATTGTAGAAATAGATGAGAGTCTGTTTTTGTGTCAAAACATCATTCTGTCCCAATATGTGTGCAGCGTGATATGCCAGGAAGCAACAGAAACTTTTTAGTTGCTGCACCAAACCTCTCTGCCAAAACGTTGCTTAAAGTTGTTAAGAAAATATTACAGATGGCACTATAATATACTCAGACTGTCGAAAAGGGTATTCCAATGAAGAGTTAAAAGAAGTCCGATTTGATTTTCAAATTAATCATACATATAATGTATTGATCCCGATACTGGTTGTTTCATGCAAACTATTGAAAGATTATATGGTAGTGCATATGGCAAATTAAATGTCAGAACGGCACTGTCCATGGTGAATTACATTCTTTTTTAATCGAGTTTTTGTGTCTTAAAACACAAGTATTTGCAGACATTTAAAATGATATCTATAGTTTCATTACCTCTGCATTAATTACCAAAATTTGTTTTTCTCATTTCTTTGGCAGGTTGTTTAATTTCCACTAACAATTTCTAACTTTTCAAACACCTGTTACATTATTTTTCACCTTTGATTTTTCTTCAATTTAACCCGTATATTAAATATTTTGGTGATTATTTTTATGCATAAAATTTTTTGCCAAATCGTCAGCATTTGGCAATCCAAATCCAGTTCTGGTAACAGAAAAGTACCCTTGGTGTTCCTCTAAATTAAAAAATTTTTATCACCCCTAAATTCTTCTTCCCTGGTTGTTATCCACCCTGGCACCAGCCCTGTAGAGGGGTTAGCAATTTTTTTTTATGCGACTAAACAATAAGTGAAGCCATATCCATGCATCCTCTCAGTGTACATTATTTAAGTTAATGATCTAAAATCCAGAAATTTATGAAAGCTGGAATCACTGAATTCCCAAACATTCCAGATCTCAGACTTTAACTAAAAAAAAAAAAAAAAAATTCTGTGTAAGAAATCAAAAATAATGAGGTAAATTTACTTACTTCTTTGAATGTCCCGAGAAATATCTAATATATTTATTGTCGTGAAGAGATAAGTATCGGATGGTATCTAAAAATAAAAGAAACATAACAACCTTATGTATTTTTTAAATTTTATTTATATCATGTATTTTATTTATATCTCTTTCCTTACATACTTTAATGTAATAATTCTAAAAATATTGAGGGAGGGTTGTTTTTTAACGCTCTTGAAATCAAAAGCATTCTGAAAAACTAAAATAAGGATATGGAAGCTTTAGGTTTTGGAGATGTCAGTTATTCAACCATAAATATTGGCTACAATTTTCATGTAATCTAATTTGTAGTTGTAACTCATATGACTAAAATATATAAAATTCTGAATAGATAATATTAAATTAAAGAATCTTTATTAAATGAAATAAAATTTAATTAAAAGTTTTTCTACCTAAAAAATAAACTAGCATACTTTGATTTGATTCATAAAGCTCATCTGAAAACTCAGATGCAATTCAGTCTCAAACACCAATAACCTTTGTCATTTTATTACTACATAATGCCTCATAACTTACTAATAGGAAACATTTCAAGATTCTATTAATCAACTCTGGTTAGGGTGGGTGAATATTCCCACCCCCCAATTGACATTGCATTACACATTTTCTAAAAATGTGTAAGAAAAACATTTAATACTATTTAACATTAGTTCAAAAAATTTTTTAGAACTCTGTTTTACAAAGTACATCAGTCTCATAAGTGACTACGAGACCGATGCATCTTGTTAAATAGAACTGAAACCCTTGCAGCAGTATATATACAAATCTTCTACTTCAGACTTATTCTAAGTAATGAATTCTGATAAATATTAACAATTTTTAATAAAAAATCTGTCTCTGTCCTTTCAGTATATTTCAGAAAATGTATACTTGCCATCAATTTTTGTAGAACTATGAACTGCTGAATTCTCAGTATGAGTAAAGCGTACAAGATCTGCCCCATACTTCTTACTGTGAAGAGTTCTCTTGTGACTGAAACAAGAAATTATTAATGTATTACACTTATATATATAAGTATTATATATATAACAATTTTTTACACACTTTTCATCAATTTTTAAAATATTTCTCTCACTTTTTTTGTACCTTTAAGTAACAAAACTTTCTTACATATTCATGACTTATAGAATCTTTCTACTAATAAAAAAATAAAACTATTTTATTGCAGACTAGCAGCTTCGCTGCCAGCCTTTTTCTGGCTTTTAAATGTACTGGAAAAATGGCTGAAGAAAACACCAAACGTTAAATTTAAAAACTGCTTAGAATTTTACTCTGCAGAACAACTTCATAAAAAAAGTTATTACGTATAACAAAATTACAATGAAATAAGCAATGTCTCTTAATACAAATATTAATTATCCTAATAAATAAATTAAACAACTTTCCTTTGAAAAATCTTAAGAACTCAAATGGTATAAAGGAGGTTAAGAACTTTGTTTCCTAAAAAAAATCACTCAAAACTTTTCAGTATCTTAAAGACAGTGAAACGAGTAATAAATAACATAAAAGAATACAAAAAACAAAAAATTCTGAAAAGCAAAGTATAATTAATGATATTTTATCTTGTATTTTCAAGAGAAAATAAATTACAATGAAATAAGCTATATCCCTTAATACAAATATTAATTATCCTAATAAAAAAATTAACTGACTTTCCATTGAAAAAAAACATGCAAAACTTTTCAATATCTTACAAACAGTGAAATAAGCAAAAAATAACATGAAAGCAACTCAAAAAACAAAATTCCGCGCAGAATTTTACTCTGCAGAACAACTTTATATATATAAGTATTATATATATATAAATGACAATGAAATATGCCAATTTCTTAAAAACTGTGACATAAGAAATACGATGAAAAATTGTTGCCAAACCCATATTTCTAAAAAAGTATGAAACTATTCAAAATGATGCGATTTTATCAAAAATCTATCAACAACAATAAGGCCAAAATCCCATTTTTAAAGATGTGAGAAGTGTACTCAAAAGTTTCATTTAAAAAAAAAATTTTTTAATACAAAATATTATCATTTTTCCAAAATTCTTTTTGTAAAAGCAGTCGCAAAGATGAAAGTTTGACATGTCCAAAAATCAATGAAAAATAAACTGTACATTTTTAAAAATAAACTTTTTTTAGAAAAAATCTCGTTGAAAAGGTGTTAAGCTCCTTTTGTTAAATAAATTCGTATTTAATCGATTTATTGAAACACAAAATTTATTTTAAGTTCGTAAAATAGCCAAGTGCCTACGTTTCATGACGATGTAAAAATGGAGTGTGTAGAGTAAAATCTCGCTTTCCTACAGCTCAATATGTCTCAAAATGACACGATTTCGTCACAAAACATATAATAAAAAAATTCTAATTCTAATTTCGAAAAAATCACTTCGAGATGCACTGACTCTTGTCTAGATGCACCTATGTACCAAATTTCGCAGCCATGGGTCTATTCGCTTACGCGCAGTGCGAACAAAAGACACACACATATACAAACTCCTTGTTTTATTAGAGATAAAACATTGTCTTGAATAAAAAAAGTATGAAAATTAATTAAAAAGCATTTTTTGTAGAAAATCTATAATATAAAACTGCCTTCATTTTATACATCTACCACCAACTTACAAATTGTAATTAAACTTCTTCCAATAATTAAATTTTAATACATGGCTATTAAAAATTGTCTATTCATGTTTTCTTGAAAATATTAGCAAAATTAAGTCCCTCTTAGAAAAAAACCCAAGTTAAAATGCAGTCTCCGTGTGATATTAGGTTTTGCCCCTTCAATATAAAAATCATATTCAAGGATTTAAAGAGCATTAACTCTATCCTAAAGCCTTATTTAAAGAAACTATGGAAGTCTACTATTACAAAATAAAGAATCTGTATGCATGTTTTTATGTTCTTCACACTGAGAAAAAAACGACACTTGGAGCTATCAGATTTTGAATACAAGCAGTCCTCCACCCAAACATGTGCACCTCGAAATCAGAATTTCGAGTTTCTTTTTCATTCATTTTATATTTTGTATGAATTTTTGATTAATAAACTCAGCAATCTGAAAGTGAGCAGTGGGACCACTGTTCAAAATAAAACATTTTTACTCCAATGCAGGAGACTTGCCATTCAGCAAAATATCAATTTTTTAATTTTAATGTACATTCTTCGCATTGCAGAAAAACGGCGACACTTAAAAGCTACCAAATTTTGAACACATGTTAGTCTTCCACCTGAACATGCACATCTTGAAAACAGAATTTTGAATTTGTTTTTGATTTATTTCACATTCTGTAAAAATTTATTGACTTTCAAGTAATAAACTCTAGGATCTGAAAACAAGAATTGGCAAAAATTGTTTGAAATAAAACATTTTTATTTCCAATGCAAGAAATTGTTGCCATTAGGCAAAATACAAGATATTAGTTCTTCAATTTTAATCCACCTACTAATTCTGCTGCTTTAAAACAATGTGTTGCCTCTGCATGAAATAAAATACTGTTATCAATGTACTAAAGAGTTGCCATTCAGAAATGCATAAGATATTTAACTTTCAAATTAGTCTCCTGTAGTATAACAAACTGAAGGATTTAAAAGCAATAAACACAGTTCTTAAGAATATACTTCTACTTTTTAATCTGATTGAGTTAATGAATTATTTGAATCATGAGATGTCTAATTTGAAATATAAAATATTTTTTATGAAATTACACTAGCTGGACTAATTAAAAATTATGTATTTTTTCACTTTTATGATAATATTTTAGTGGTTGGCTACACAACAGCTAGTATAGTAAAAAGATAAACTTGTAAAATACAAAAGTCAATAGAAATCTAATAAAAAATTACACCACTAATGAACAATCCATAATAAATATTCACACCATACTACACTGATGCTGTCTGAACACAATTAAATAATTTACAATTTCAGGGTTTTATAGATGTACATAAATTAAAATTTTTGGATTAAAAAAATCGGTTGATCTTTGGATTATGGTAACTTGGCGATTTTTTGGCGAAAATTTGGCAACCCTCTATTTTTTTTTCGCCGCCATTTTGTCTTCACAAAGTAAAGACATGTTTCTTTTCTTTTTATTTACTGAACACTTTTCCCAACAATCTACTAGCCGAATTACACTTATGCTAGAAATTTTATGTAACAAAACTGCTTAATCATGACAAATATTTACTGCAAAATTGGGAAAAAGTGCACAATCGCAAACTCCTTGCACGTTTTTCAGAATAGCACATACACATAAACCATTTACATGTCGACTTATTTTTACTTAAAAAAAACATCCCAGAATTGCACAAAAATGGCATTGCACACACTCTTAACTTTATCCATCTACACTGCTATTTTCTCTCATAAATTACAAAAAATTTGCAAGAAAATGCAAAAAAAAAATCTGTGAATCTTTAAACTTGGTAAAAAGCACATTTATGAAATTACCTGATCGCGAAAAAGTATATACCCTTTCCAAGGATGAACATTTCCACGTATAAAATAAATAAAATATCCAAAAACTTTTACCTCTAAATTATCTATTATATTATAAACGTCACCAACGAATTCATACCGCAAACATTACAAATGGTTATAAATACTTAGTGCCAAATATTTAAATTATTTCCATGAACGTTTACTTCAACTGAAACGTATACCAAATTCCTACAAAAAAAAAAAAAATTAAAATAACTAACATTTAATTAAAATATCACTAAACGATGTACACATCGACTTATTTTTACTTAAAAAAACATCCCAGAATTGCAAAAAAAATGGCATTGTGCACACTCTTCACTATATCCATGTACACTGCTTTTTTCTCATAAATTAGAAAAATTTCACGAAAATGCATGAAAATTTTGTGACTCTTTAAATCTGGTAAAAAGAACATATATGAAATTATCTGATCACAAAAAAGTATATACCCTTTTCAAAGATGAACATTTCCACGTATAAAATAAATAAAATATCCAAAAACTTTTACCTCTAAATTATCTATTATATTATAAACGTCACCAACGAATTTATACCGCAAACATTACAAATGGTTACAAATACTTAGTGTCAAATATTTAAATTATTTCCATGCACATTTACTTCAACTGAAACGTATACAGTCAAAAGTCGTTAATCCGGACTCGTCGGGACTTCGGCGATTCTGGATTATCGATTTTTCCGGATTATAGATTATCAGTTTAAATCTCGTAAGATGGCATGCAGAAATTCTAAAATTAAAAATATGAAACCGTTAATTTATGAAATAAAGAACAATTATGATCTAAAGGGTATCAAAATTTACAAAAAAAAAAAAACTTAATATTTATTTGTTTACTTTATTAAACATTTCTTTCAATGTAAGTTGTTTAAGTTGCTTCGTTTTATGTGATAATACTTTCTCTTTAATTCTATAAACAGACATAATTTCTTGTTCAGTTACAAAGTTCCGCTGTTCAAGTCCCGTTAATTGCTGTGTGCCGAGAATACCGACTAACTTGTCAATCGAAATTTTTTTTCGTTTTCACTAAGCTCTCTGTCACATTCTTCATGTCTTTATCCATTTTTTGCAGCAGCAATTCCACTTTTTGTTTGATGGACATCGAAACATACTTTCGTTTTGTAGATCCTTTGGGAGTTCCAGTCCAGAATCGGAAATTCTATTTGACATAATCGAAAGTTCAAGTTTACTTTTATAAAATTGCTCTTACAGTCTGCAAAAAATAATAAGCCGGATCCAATTCGAAGATTAAGGAAACAACGCAATCATCAACATTAACTGAAATAGATAATTAGATAATTTTAGCTTATACCGTCCGTTATACATAAAACGCGCACGCGAAAACGTATTCTGCGCTTGCGCACACGCAAGTGGTAAAAGGTCTTATGCGCGCACGTAAACGCCTATGCGCATGTGTCAATGCGGCGCATGCGCAGAAAGTTTTTAGCTTTGAGGTCCGGATTATAGATCATTCCAGATTATGGGTGTCCGAATTAACAACTTTTGACTGTACCAAATTCCTACAAACCTAAAATTCACAAAATAACTATCATTTAATTAAAATATCCCATGTACACGCCGACTTATTTTACTTAAAAAAAATCCCAGAATTGCACAAAAATGGCATTGCGCACACTCTTCACTATATCCATGTACACTGCTTTTTTCTCATAAATTAGAAAAAATTCACGAAAATGCATGACAATTTCCTGAATCTTCAAACCCGGTAAAAAGAACATATATGAAATTACCTGATCGCGAAAAAGTATATACCCTTTCCAAATATGAACATTTCCACGTATAAAATAAATAAAATATCCAAAAACTTTTACCTCTACATTATTTATTATATTACAAACGTCACCAACTAATTCATACCTGCAAACATTACAAATGGTTACAAATACTTAGTTAAATCATTTAAAATATTTAAATTAATTCCATGCAAATATTAAAATTATTTCCATGCACGTTTACTTCCACTGAAGCGTATACCAAATTCCTACAAACATATAATTCACAAAATAACTATCATTTAATTAAAATATAATTAAATTCAAAAACACTACTTAAAATATAAATAAGCACATACATTAAATTAATAAAAATTAGCTTACAATTACTTTAAAGTAAATCATTGCTAATAACAGTTTTCCAATAATACCATATTACTTTATTTACTCCTTACATTTAGAACAATGCATAAAAATAATATCCTCAAATAATTAAAAATACTAACTTACCTAATCTTCTTCAGAATCTTGATTACATGGCCGATAAACTTTTCTTATTTCCTCCGCTAAATAAAAAGCAAGCGTATGTGCGCCTGTTTCAGGATCTTTAAAATCATACTTATAGTTAGTTCACAGCAAGGTACCAGGTAAAATAAATAACTTAATAAAATATCTTTACTTCTATCTCGCACAACCTTAAAGAAACACTTATTACTACCCCTTTCAATCCCACTAAATACCCATTTCGAATTCACTTCGAATTAAGGCCATGGGATTCAAAAATTAATGAACACTGTTTCACACAACACAGAATAAAGCCAAGTACAAAATTTCCAGATTTTTTCCCGATTTCCCCCCTTTTCCTATTAAAGAACCGTAATTCGTTCATTAATATCACATGACATATCCCATGATCTCTCATTTTCCTCACACAAAATAATGCGTAATCGGAACTGAGTACTTCTCACATTATTACCAAAGTCCTAGGTAGTAACCTTTATCGCCTCCAAAATGTGGCCAAACTACCAGTTACCATATTGCAAAGATGAGCCAAAAAATCATTCGAAAAGCAATCTCCAATATTAACAATTTCTTTTTATCTTCATTACTATAGTTTTCAAAAATTAGATTTAAAATTACTTTAAATCTTAACTAAAAACACAGAACTTTCTTCTTTGAATAATTTAATGCTAAAACAGTAAGATATAATAATGTACAGTAAGATATAATAAACAGCTTACTATTTAAAAAATATATTTCAAACTGCATACATACTGCTGAGATTGGTATTAAATAGATGTTAACATTTTTGTAAACTTCCAACATTACTTTTTCCCATATTCCTTTTTCAATATTATAAAGAATTTAAAAATTAACTTAGGTTCTCGTATTTTTCCTTTAGATAGCATGATAGATCAATCTGATAATTTTACAATCACAGTTAGCATTTTTTTTTTTTTTTTTTTTTTTTTTTTTTATAATTCTCTGCTTGATTGTCTCTTCATAATCTTTCCTTCATTAGGAAAATAACTGGATTATTAAAGAAAAAATTTAATGTAGTAAATAAAAGCCCTAATAAATGCAGTGACTAAATAAATATGGTCATACCACTCAGAAAACTGTGCATTTGGTACAAAATGTTAAATATATTAAAAAACTATGATTAAATCCCTTTTGCTAAACAATACTGTAAATATACTTATACTATAGATATGGCCACCTTAAAAATATTATTTCCAATCTGCTAAAATTTTAACATACAGTTAAAAGACAGGAGATAATTTCACTAAGCAAGATATTACAACATGAATAAAAAGTGATGAATAAACAATATTCACCTCTACTATTGCATATCCTTACATTAAAGTAAAACACTAGGGGTTTTTTTTTTTTTTTTTTTAATGTTTCTTTTCTGAAAGTAAGCAATCGAAAATTATTAACTACTTGCAGTGAAACATTTCTACTTTTCAAGGACAATTTTAATGCTTTTTAACACAATGCTTGGAAGCACTCCCATAAAGAACCTGGTAAATGTAAACACTGCCAACAATAGCAATAACAGTTCAAATCTGGTAATCCAACGGATTCGCATGCTTGCAGATAACCATTCCTCTTACGTTGTTTTTGGTTTCTTACACTTCTATTCATAATTTTGCATGTCGTAGCATCACACTTATTGTTCAGCTTTCCCCATTAATTTATTTTTCACTTATTCAGCATTATTTTGTCTGATTTCCACATCACATTTTCTGTATTTTTTAACTATGAATAGATGGAATTATTTCCATTCAATCAAGGAAGTTGCCCGAGAGAGATGCTTGTCTGCAGTAGTACGTCTCAGAAGGATTATTGCCTTCATCGAAAATATGTTTACAGCAAGCAATGGATCAGCAAAGATTCTTAAGAAGCATGTGACTAAGAAAGCAACTATTGTGACTGATGAATGGTGGACATATTCATTTTTAGGCAGGTATGGATTATTTTGTGCATCAGACTGTTAATCATTCCACAAATCTCATTAATCCAGCAACTAGTGCACATACCCTGTCTAAAGAATTAATCAGCAGCCTCTGAATGTAAAATTTAAATGGGAAAAAAAAAGTGGTTTTTCACAAGGAAAACTTAACTGATCATGTACTTGACTACCTATTTTGGTAGGAAGTTAAACATAATGGCAAGATCCATTATGCCATTAATGTGTAATGTGAATGTCACATTACATATGGGGAAAATCATGGAACCCAACTATGCAGTCAGCCCTTTCATATGGCTTTGAATTACCAGTATTCAGTAGTCTTGGCAGAGTAATTTTAATAACAGAAATTTAGTACAAGAATGGTCTATGAATAAATCTTAATTATGACTGGTGAACTTTTATACATTTCAGCTATCAAAACATTACATTAACCAAATTAAAAACCCATTTTACAACTGCAAGTTTTTAAACATCATAAAAAATGTTAACAGATGAATTATTTAAATTATAAGGTGTTGGGGGGGGAGAAATTACTTAAATTTATCACAAACTGTGTTGATATAGATTTTGATCAATATAATCTGAATACTTAAATATATTGGATGAAGATCCCTGCCAGATGTCAAATAACTAACCATGTGATAATAACAAATTTTAAACAATTCGATTTTACTCCAACAGTTTTATAGGTAATTATCATTAATACATTTCCAATTTTGCAAATTAATTCTAAAACAGATTATGGTAACTTAAATAAGGAAAGAAAGAATTCTTAAAGATAAAATATTAACTATCTTTATTTAAATTTTCACATAAATATTCTGAAAATATGTACGCAGACAAGCTTAGCCATTACCTTGGAAAAAAAAAAACACAGAATGAAAGTATATATTCAGAAGTTTTATCCATTTCCAACCAGCAGTTCTAGAAATTAATGGTTATTACAATAGTGGATTTCAATAAAACAATTTGTAAATTACTTCAGAAACTTTATTACAAATAAAAAGATTCCCTTAATAGCAGCATAAGCATAATAAAAGCATAACTTAATTTATGATAAGCTAATAAAAATAGATATACACACTGTTGTTCTCCAATTATATTAAAATTACACAAGAAGGTTTCACAAAAACTACAGTTTATATATTAAAATACATCTCATTATTTTTGATCCTACACAATTACTAAACTTCTATAACATGAAATCCAGCTATGATTCAGGAACTTAAAATTATCACAAGCTGAAAATTATTAATCATAAAATGTATATTCAAATTTATAACCTTTAAATATCCACATTTTTCTCACTAAGAAGAAGATACTTAAAATTTTGAAAATATGAAACATTATTAAATCAAATTTTAAATAACTTCATACTGCACAGTAAGCGATAGGTTGATATTTTCACAAATAAATAAACATTTAAAACAAATAAGTATTCTCTCCAATTTTTCATAAATAACGTAATTACGTTCTTGACACTTTCAATAAATACGGAATATCAAAAAAATAAATTGAAAGTCATTTTTCATAGAGGGTTAAAATTTGAATTAACTCTTCCGACCTACGAAAACAATTATAAGCGTAAGATATGCACAATCAGTTTTTTTTTTTTTTGTTTTTTTGGTCGTTACTTAAAAACCTCGTTATAATTACTTACGTTCCTTTCTCACAGTCATATATCACAATGGAATCGTCATCACTACTTGAAATCAAAGTATTACCATCAGAAGAAAAATCAACGCTATTAATGCGATCAGAATTTTCACTAAATACTTTGGCCACGCGAAAACTTTGAACTACATATGAAACTAGTTTCATTGTGAGTTCTGAATACATGAGTTTAAGTAGCACCTAAAGAATTAAAAATTTTTACAACGCTAAATCTACAAACGGCCCAACAAATTTACTGAAGATTAAAAAGGCCGTGCCCTGAGAGCATCGTTCCGCCGTCTCTGCAAAGCTGCCAGTGAGAAAAAATCACACCGGCCCCAGAGATCTTAACACCAAGTTCGTTATCCGCCATTTTTAACCACGAATCAACAACGCATTTCAAAAGGCCCTTTTAAAATGAATATATTATATTTAGAAAATTGCATTATGTTTATTGAATATTTTTAAAAGGACAGCAGTTTTAAATAGTAAATTGTTTTATTCAAGAATCATTGACAAAAAGTGATTCATCAATTCTTGGACGTAATTCTTGGACGTAAGTAAAAATAATGCCGCATTTCATCCGACAATAATATAAAATATAAATGTTCCCGTCCATAATATAAATATTATACTCCCATTCTGCATTTAAAAAAAAAAAAAGAGGTGAGAAGTCATTACTGAATTGGTCGAAAATTAAACTATAGTTCCGAAATATGTACTTTTGCTTTAAGCATTTATTTACCTTAATTTTGTATAAAGTTTACAAATAACCTTTTATAGTTCCTCTCATTCCCATGCAGTTTTTTCTATGTCGTGTCTATATAATCAGACGCTAGCAGACTTTCAAAGTTTAGAAGCATATTTTAGCAGATCTCTTTTACAGTGGAGAAATACCCTGATGCAATCGACTGACTTTCGTTTCACCTATGATTTTTGGAAAAAGAAAAAAAGACATAAACTAAAGAAGCCTACTTATATGAGTATTTCCTTAAATATATTGTAACATTTAGAGGCTTTAGTGTAGAATTGGGTGCCCCTTTGATTAACGACAAATTTCGTTCAGTTTTGGCGATGAAACCCCATTTCTGGTTACTATGATAGTTACTATAATAGTGTGCATGGACTAAGTTAAGGTAGCACGCAATGTCTAGTTTGCGCAATTCTCTGATGTTTTTTTGAATGAAAATAGATCGATGTGTACATGGGCTACTTTGACTTCTTAGTTTGGTTTTGTACAGCGGCCATCTTGAAATTGTGCCTGGCGTCGGTCTTGACGTGAAAAAGAAAACACCAAAAAGCAAGGGGCTAACAAAAAAAAAAAAAAAACATATTCTTTGCAAGGGGCTACCCATTAGTAAATGAGAGAGTACTCCACGCTTCTTTCCTAAATAATTTTTTAAAACTGAATTTGAGTTACAGATTCCTGTAATAACACTACATCTTTTATAAACAGCCTTTATAAATATGATTTATGTAAAATTCGAAAAAATAAATGAATAAAAATAATTTTTTATGTAGATTAAAACTTAATTTTAAAGAATGAAATTTGAAAAGGATAAATGTACTTATTCTCTCATTCTTATGAAAGAAATGGTCAGTTCCGAATCGTTTTCTCTTATTTGAGCGAAGCATCTTTTTCAGTAAATACTGTAAGTATATTTGCATTTTTTCATGAAATCCTCATGCTCATCACTTTGGTTATTTCATGTATTAGGAAATTAGCAACTATCAAAGATTGTCACAGTTAAATATTACCATTATTTTTTTGTACCTAAAGAGTATAATTCACTATATGTTGTTAGTAGTGTACTGGAAGACATTCCCACTACGTACAGCATTCAAACGATTTTACCCCTATGAATGGAAGTTCTGTTGCTCTCACATATTAAAGAACCTTGTATTAAGCCTACCCAGATCAAAGAACGTAGACGTTGGAGATCCGTCAGATTATTTCCTGTATGATGTCAGTATGGAGTAATGTAATTGATTTTTAGGGCTTTGAGATTAAATATTGCATTAGTTGTAAGAAAGTTAACTGCTTGTATTCGTGATGTGATGAAATCGTTCGATATAATTTCAAATCTAGTCACTCCGAATGGAGTGACAGAATATCTATATTCAGTTTTGCCCAAAGATATTCCTGATGCTGCAGTTGCTCTTGTAAGATCATTTAATACTGTAGATGAATTTCAGCTAAAAATTTTGCGGGTATCCTTATGTATACTTCTTATAAATGTGTTTTTTATTTGGTGTGCGTGGAGAAAATACGGCGAAAAAATTACTGAACGTTTTATGAAACCAGGTTTGTAATATTCCTTTTTTATGTGGATGTAATGATTCCGTATATCTTTTGTTCATATTATTTTACGAAAATAATGGTTTATTACAAAATGTGTAGCAAATATTGCCATGATGTCACTTTCCATGTATGTACACCTTGAATTAAATTGAAAGAAGTAGTGATTTTACAGAATTACGGACGTTATCTGTATCTTACGAAGTACAGATCTGCATTTTGTGTCAGTAAAATTGATATTGAAATTATTAAATACTTGGCTTATTAACTGCAGCATTTTCCCCTTTTTTCTAATTCTTTATTAAAATGTCACTTACTAGGTCATAAATCTCCTTCAAAATCGGAAAGCAGTTAATGTAGGCAGTTTAACAAAGAAAGGTTTTTTTTTATGAGTTTCCGTCTGTTCCATAAATATGTGTTTACTTTTTCCAAATCATTTACATAATTTTTCAGTAAATGTAAATCTGTTTTCAACAATCTGTTGGAGCTCAGCTGTGGTACTTAAGAACATGACAGAGCCCCAATTAAGATAAGTCCAGTTTTAATAAGCACTGCAATACTAAGCAGAAATTTTTGCTGTTAATGCAACTTTGTTGTAATCACTATTAAAATTGGCTTGCGTACTATCTACTAAGTGTATGTTTCTCATGTTGCAGGAGTCCCTTCCTTTTTGTCTGTTTATTCATTCTAAGAGAAATACATGTTTTGCAAGTCATGATGTGAGATATTTTAGTCTTTCCCTACCTGAGAATAAAGATCATTTTACAATAAAATGCAGAATCGCTCACTTATTTGTTTGGTGCTTTTTACAAGAGTTTCTTTGACTTTTTAAGTGAAAATAGGTTGATGTGTACATGGATAAATTCAAGGGAGTGTGCAATGCCATTTTTGTGCAATTCTGGGATTTTTTTAAAGTGAAAATAGGTTGATGTGTACATGGATACCGAGTATGTGCAATTCTTAAAAACGTGCCAAGCAGTGGGCGATTCTGCACTTTCCCCAGATTTTATTCTCCAGACGATTATTGATTGAAAATAAAATTAAGAAATTACTGCTAGAAAAGTTATTCAATTGTGTCAGGATATCTTTATAAAATGGATTATTATATCCAAATAATTATAAAATAATGAACTCATGTATTAGGAATTCCTAATACATTTTAGGGCTTTAAGATTAAATGTTGCATTAGTTGTAAGAAAGTTAACTGCTTTGTATTCGTGATGTGATGAAATCGTTCGATATAATTTCAAATGGAGAATTTAGCTTTGGTTGATCTTTAGATTATGGTAATTTGGTGATTTTTTGGCGAAAATTTGGTGACCAACTCTCCTACAGCAACCCTCTATTTTTCCCACCGCCATTTTGTCTTCACGAAGTAAAGACATGTTTCTTTTCTTTTTATCTACTGAACACTTCTTCCAACAATCTACTACCCAAATTACACTTATTACAGAAATTTTATCTAACAAAACTGCTTAATCATGACAAATATTCACTGCAAAATTGGGAAAAAGTGCACAATACCATACTCCTTACGCGTTTTTCAAAATAACACATACACATAAACCATGTACACGTCGACTTATTTTTACTTAAAAAAACATTCCAGAATTACACAAAAATGGCATTGCGCACACTCTTCACTATATCCATGTACACTGCTTTTTTCTCATAAATTAGAAAAATTTCATGAAAGTACATGACAATTTTCTGAATCCTTAAACCCGGTAAAAAGAACATATATGAAATTACGTGATCGCGAAAAAGTATATACCCTTTCCAAATATGAACATTTCCACATATAAAATAAATAAAATATCCAAAAACTTTTACCTCTAAATCATCTATTATATTATAAACGTCACCAACGAATTCATACCGCAAGCATTACAAATACTTAGTGTCAAATATTTAAATTATTTCCATGCACGTTTACTTCAACTAAAACGTATACCAAATTCCTACAAACATAAAATTCACAAAATAACTATCATTTAATTAAAATATCACTAAACCATGTACACATCGACATATTTTTACAGTTGATCTTTAGATTATGGTAACTTGGCAATTTTTTGGCGACCAACTCTCCTACAGCAACCCTCTATTTTTTTTTCCCGCCGCCATTTTGTCTTCACGAAGTAAAGACATGTTTCTTTTCTTTTTATCTACTGAACACTTCTTCCAACAATCTACTAGCCGAATTACACTTATGCTAGAAATTTTATCTAACAAAACTGCTTAATCATGACAAATATTCACTGCAAAATTGGGAAAAAGTGCACAATACCATACTCCTTACGCGTTTTTCAAAATAACACATACACATAAACCATGTACACGTCGACTTATTTTTACTTAAAAAAACATCCCAGAATTACTCAAAAATGGCATTGCGCACACTCTTCACTATATCCATGTACACAGCTTTTTTCTCATAAATTAGAAAAATTTCATGAAAGTACATGACAATTTTCTGAATCTTTAAACCCGGTAAAAAGAACATATATGAAATTACCTGATCGCGAAAAAAGTATACCCTTTCCAAATATGAACATTTCCACATATAAAATAAATAAAATATCCAAAAACTTTTACCTCTAAATCATCTATTATATTATAAACGTCACCAACGAATTCATACCGCAAGCATTACAAATACTTAGTGTCAAATATTTAAATTATTTCCATGCACGTTTACTTCAACTAAAACGTATACCAAATTCCTACAAACATAAAATTTCCAAAATAACTATCATTTAATTAAAATATAATTAAATTCAAAAACACTACTTAAAATATAAATAAGCACATACATTAAATTAATAAAAATTAGCTTACAATCCTAATTACTTTAAACTAAATCATTGCTAATAACAATTTTCCCAATAATACCAAATTACTTTACTTCCATCTTACATTTAGAACAATGCATAAAAATAATATCCTCAAATAATTAAAAATACTAACTTACCTAATCTTCTTCAGAATCTTGATTACGTGTCCGATAAACTTTTCTTATTTCTTCCGCTAAATAAAAAGCAAGCGTATGTGCGCCTGTTTCAGGATCTTTAAAATCATACTTATAGTTCACAGCAAGGTACCAGGTAAAATAAATAACTTAATAAAACATCTTTACTACTATCTTGCACAACCTTAAAGAAACACTTATTACTACCCCTTTCAATCCCACTAAATACCCATTTTGAATTCACTTTAGTTAGGGCCATGGGATCCGAAAATTAACGAACACTGTTTCACACAACACAGAATAAAGTCAAATACAAAATTTCCAGATTTTTCCCGATTTCCCTCCTTTTCCGATTAAAGAACCGTAATTCGTCCATTAATATCACATGACATATCCCATGATCTCTCATTTCCCTCACACAAAATAATGCGTAATCGGAACTGAGTACTTCTCACATTATTACCAAAGTCCCAGGTAGTAACCTTTATCGCGTCCAAAATGTCGCCAAACTACCAGTTACCATATTCTAAAGATCAGCCTTAGCTTTCAGTGTTTGATATCCAAAGACAGGGAGCATGGTTCACCAAATTTTCTTTGTACACAATTGATAAGTTTCTGAAAAATGTGCATAAAGAAAACATATTATACCTGTAGTAGTAAAGAAGAATGTATCTAGAAAATCAGTAAAAATAATTTGAAAAAAAAAAAAAAAAAATCTTAATATAAGTTTTAAGATTGTCATTTCACCTTATTTTAATAAAATCCCGATCTAATAAATAATATGTAACAAAATTTCATTAAAGTGCATTTGTATTTTAATATGAAAATAATTCTTCATAAACAACAAAATAAAATCTGTTGTACAAGATTATATTCATTTTTGTTTTCTGACAATAAATAATGCATATATTTGCATATGGCTAAAGTGTCACTGCTGTCAATAGAAAGTTGTGGATACTGTCTTCTTCTTGCATTTATTGGGTTGTTCGGAAAGTAATTTCGTTTTTTTTTTTTTTGGGAACATGAAAGACAATTTTCGTATAATGAATAAATATTTTATTAAATTATATATTGGCCATTCTGGTCCAACACCTTTTGCCATCTTTCTGGCTGTAACATGATTCCCCGCTCATAAAAGTTTTGGCCCTTGCTGGCAAAAAACTGATTCAGGTGGTTTTTGACATCTTCATTTGAGGTAAAGGTTTTACCATCCAAAAAATTTTGCAGGGACCGGAACAAATAATAATCGGAAGGCGCCAGATCTGGAGAATATGGTGGGTGTTGCAGTATGTCCCATTCAAGCTGTAAAAGCTTTTGGTGAGTGACCAAACTTGTACGAGGTCTTGCATTATCCTGGTGGAACACTACACCCTTCCTGTTGGTTAATTCTGGCCTCTTCTGTTTAAAAGTTCTGTTTAAGTGCATCATTCAATTTGTCCAGCTGATGACAATAGACTTCCGAATTAATAGTTATATTGTCCGGTAAAAGCTAAAAAAAAAAAAGATTCCTTTGAAATCCCACCAAACGAACAGCATCTCCCTTTTTTTGGTGAATATTGGCTTTTGAAACGCTTTGAGCCGGTTCATCTTTTTCTGCTCCATGACCTCTTGCGTTTCACATTGTTGTATACGACCCATTTTTCGTCCCCAGTAATAATCCGCTTAAAAAATGGATCATTTTCCTGACGATTGAGGAGCAAATCACACACGTCAACGCGACGACACAAATTTCGCTCCGTAAGAACATGGGGCACCCACACATCGAGCTTCGAGGTTAAGCCCAGGCCTTTCAAGTGGCCATAAACAGTCGAATTCGACAAATTTAACCTCTCACCGATCTCTCGTGTGGTTATTCGCCGATTTGCATCAACTAATGCCTTTATCGCATCTTTGTCAGCTTCGACCGGCCTTCCAGACCGTGGTGCATCTTCGACATCAAAATTTCCGGATCGAAACTTTGCAAATCAGTTCTGGCACTAGCATACTGTTAACACGCCTTCTCCATACACATCCGTCAATTTTTTTTCTCGCTTGG